CGGAGGAATATTCTGTACATTGAAGTAATTGAAGTACATTCAAATCGCGTGCCATTCAACTTGCGCGCGGCACCGAACATGGGACACCGCCCGCTCCCACAACCTCACACACACACATAGCGCGTCGTCACCCCACCCCGCCACTCCGCGCTCCGTCACTCAGTCAGTCTCGCTGTAACCACGCTTGTGTTAACATCAGAATTGTAGTTGCTACCCTTGCTACCCGCATTTACCATGGCCCCTAAAGAGCATCAAAGACACCAGCTGGAGCCACCCCTAAGCGACAGAAGTGATGACTCTGCAGGAGAAGGTGGAGTTGCTGAATAAGTTAAGGGAGGGAATGTCGTTCACTGCTGTGGGGCGACTGTACAACGTGAATGAAAGCACGGTACGTACCATGAAGAAAAGGGAAAAGGATATCTGTGATGCTGTAAGTGCCAGTGCTCCACGCAGTGCTAAGCATGTCAGCCAAGTGAGGGAGAAGGCAATGGTGAAGATGGAGAATGCCTTGTTTCTGTGGATAGAGGACCAGCACCGGATAGGTGTAGCAGTGTTATATCCTTATCCGGGAGAAAGCTAAATCTCTACACACACGCTTCACGCCTGCAGCTGAGGAACCCGTGCCCAGTACCAGTGCTGCTACCCCCACACCTGAGACACCTCCGACACCTTTCCAAGCCAGCAAGGGGTGGTTTGACAATTTCAGGCGTCGATTCGGCCTGAAGAATGTGAAGATGACTGGGGAGGGTGCATCAGCAGACACCATGGCTGCAAAAGCTTTCCCAGCAGAGTTGAAAGCAATACTCGAGGAGCAGGGATACAAGCCAGAGCAAGTTGGAATATGGATGAAACAGGTAAGACAATAAATTACTATTGTACCGTACATTTAACCTTAAAAATGCTCAAATACCTGTTGTACTGTACGTACTGTATTGTGTTGTAAGAGAAAACGGGATAAATGTGTCTGATTTTTATACAGTAACTTTTATATTTTTATTCCGTAGTGATTTACCATACAGAGTGCTGCAATATTTTTATATTTTTATACCGATTTTGGTACCATATATGTATAATAGTACAGGGTGTACTATTTTCTTTTCCAACAGGTTTGTTCTGGAAAAAGATGCCACAGCGCACTTTCATCGCCCAAGATGAACGCCGTGCACCAGGATTCAAGGCAGCCAAAGACAGGTGCACCGTGCTATTTTGTGGCAATGCCGCAGGTCACCTCATTCGCCCAGGCTTCATATACAAGTCTAAGAAACCGCGTGCATTCGAACGCCGCGACATGAGCAGGCTGCCTGTTTTCTGGATGCACAATATGAAGGCCTGGACAACGAGCGAACTGTTTCTCAACTGGTTCTACCATTGTTTCCTGCCAGAGGTTGAACGTTACCTGCACCAGAAAGGATTTGAGTTCAAGATCCTGCTAATCCTCGACAATGCTCCCGGTCATCCACAGTCAGTGGAGGTGTTGCATGAAAAGGTACAGGTGTTGTTCCTTCCACCCAACACCACTGCACTTAACCAGCCAATGGACCCGGGAGTTATCAAGACGGTCAAGGCTAACTACAGTAAATGTGTGATGGCCAGACTGCACTCAGCCTTAGACCATGACCAAAACCTGGATGTGATTCAGTACTTGAAGAGCTTCAACATTGCCAACTGCGTATCTGTGGTGGCTGAATCGTTCAAGGATGTGAAGCCTGAGACAGTGAATGCCTACTAGAAATCACTGTGGCCTGAATGTGGGAAAGATTTTACTGGATTTTCTCCTGACGAAGCCATCGCAGAGGCGGTGAGAAAGACCCTGGCACTGTCAAGGAAAGTGGCTGCTGAAGGCTTCCAGGACATGGCAGAGGACGAGATTAGGGAGCTAATTTAAGAGCACGACACTGAGCTGACCGAGGAGGATCTACAGGATTTAGTAGACTCAGGCAAGGAAGAGGAAGCGCAAGGGAAAGAGGATGAGGAAGAGCAACAAGAAATAACGTTGGAGAAGTTGGGGGAGATGACCAGGAATATTGAGGCACTGAAAAACATGGCCTATAGTATGGCCCCTCCATGGTGCGTGCCCTGAAATTCATGCGAGGGATGGATGACGTTTTTGCTCCATACAAAAACATCATGAAAGAAATGAAAAGAAAGAGACGACAACTCCCCATCACCATGTTCTTTGATCGCCGAAGGAGAGGTTTAACACCATCAATCACTGGCGGCAGTGAGGAAGCAGCTGAATCCACCGTCGCCCCCACTTCACCACCCGTTATGGAATTGAGTGACGATGACCCCCGTCTTGTCTCCGAGGATAGGTACGGTACAGTAAAGTGAAATTTTTATCTCTTTTTATATAGCTTTTCTTGCTATGTTTATTGTTTGTAAAAATGCACAGCACAGTACAGTTCAGTACTGTACATAGGAAGTGGAGGTGCAGATATTCACAAAACATTTGTGTTTGTTGTCGGCAGTAGTGACGATGTGGAGACGGAGGGATAGAGCGGGTAGGAATGGTGACGCTGGAGGCGGGAGCAGAGACGGGGACGAGTGGAGATGCCAGCCAGTACATTACGGGTGTACAGTATTAATTGTTTTTATAGCTCATTTTGCATTTTTATATTAAATACCGTACATTACGTTTCAACAAAACTACTATTTATTTCTGAGAATATGGAAATGTAATATTTTTGCTGAAATGCCGTACAGTCCGTATTACAGTGGAAAGTGGGATAAAATTGTGACGAAAGCAATGACTTTCGCCTCCTTTCGTTCAAAAGATGTTACCGTAATCGCTTTTTGAATGGTTTTCAGTTGTGGGATTATGAGAGTAATAATAGGATAGAATATTATTGTAATACAGTACAGTACAACAGTTTTTTAACTGAAAACCATTCGAAAAGCGATTACGGTAAAATCTTTTGAACAACGAAAGAAAGCGAAAGTCATTGTTTTCGTCCTGATTTTATCCCAATTTCCACTGTAATATGTACGTCATTTCAGCAAAAATATTACATTTCCATATTTATTTCTGAGAATATATTCATTCAGTCACAGTTAAGGTAAAATATACTTGTGATGTAATATCTTAATGAAAATACCCGGTATTTAGAAATGCAGTATCGTAGTTTTATTTTGATTCAAATTTAATTAACAAAGATTGGTTTCAAATTTATGTACAGTGATCCCTCGGTTAACGAGCGCCTCGGTTAACGAAATTTCGGTTAACAAATTATCTTCCATAAGTTTCTTCACTTCGGTTAACGAAAAAATTTCGGTTAACGAATGCCTTACGAATTTTTCCCAACATGTTTTCGCCTGCATTTGGCTGCTCACCAGCTGTAGTATTAGTCCGCCAATACAGTAATCGGTTTTAGGGCTTAAATTCCTTACCATTTTAGTAAATATCAAGAAGGTTGTACTATTCAATAATTTTGAAAGTTTTATATTAATTTTTTTAGTCATTTTAACAATTATTGAACACAATTGAAGTACAGGAAGCTAGTTTTTTGTGCGCCTAACAGCCACTCAACACACCAAGCTTGGCGTCAGTTTGTTTACCGGTTCAGAGGCAGGAACATCTTGTTTGAGACTCTTCAACATAAACGCTTTTTTCTGTGTTTCCAGTCAAATTATTGGTCATTTTGAAATATATTTTCAATATTGATAATATATAGCGCAGTGCAGAGTTGATTTAAAGAAAATAATCTTGAATTACACCAAGTGAACTAAAATTTTATGGGTGAAATGGCGGCAAGAGGTGCCTTCTCTTCCACCCCAATGCCTTCTCGTCTCCCTTCTCCTCCACCCCCACTTCTAATTCCCATCATCATCATCATCAACCAGGAGCCTTCTACATGCACACCTCAAAGTAAGTGTACTTTACTGCATTTATTTTTAGTTTGTATGTAATTTCGGTGAGCTGGAACCAATTACCCAAAAACCCATTGAAACAATGGTTTCAGTTAACTAATTTTTCGGTTAACGAGCAACTTTCTGGAACGAATTGTGCTCGTTAACCGAGGGACCACTGAATCTGTAAATAAACTTTAAAAAATGAATACTTTATGTTTTACATCGTCCTGTGCTACCATACCATGCATTTGGCTACTTTGGGCTTGCTATGATGACGCAAGAGATCTGCCCTGGCAACTGTACCGACACTCACAGCTGGTGGTGCGTCGTTTCCATTGTTTACTGGTAGTTACTGGTAAATATTTTTCAACCTAACAAAACTCTTACCCGTTTAGAGGTCGACCCCCAATTTTTTGCCAAAAAATTTGGTCTTAAAAACTCGAACTACACACAGGTATATACAGTAAATAAGGACATGGGGGGCCAGGGGTGTTTTTAGGGGGGCAGCAAAAATACACGGGTTCTTAACAGTCACGGGTATCTCTGTTACCTAACCCCCGCGTATGTTAAGGGCAGACTGTACAGGAAACTAGTTTTTTGCACGCCAAACAGCCACTCAACACACCAAGCTTGGTGTCAGTTTGTTTATCGGTTCAGAGGTAGGAACATCTTGTTTGAGACTCTTCAACATAAACGCATTTTTCTGTGTTTCCAGTCAAATTATTGGTCATTCTGAAGTTTATTTTACATATTGACAATATATAATGCAGTGCAGTGTTGATTTAAAGAAAATAATCTAGAATTACACCAACTGAACTAAAATTTTATGGGTGAAATGGCGGCATGGGGTGACTTCTCTTCCGCCCCAATGCCTTCTCTTCTCCCTTCTCCACCCCCACTTCCTTCTCTTCTCCCTTCTCCTCCTCCACCTCCCACTTCAAATTCACATGAGCATCATCATCCAGGAGCCTTCTACATACACACCTCAAAGTAAGTGTACTTTACTGCATTTTTTTTTACTTTAGGTAATTTTCGGTGAGCTGGAACCAATTAACCAAAAACCCATTGAAACAATGGTTTCGGTTAACGAACAGCCTTCTGGAACGAATTGTGTTCGTTAACCGAGGGACCACTGTACAGGGAGAACTCAAGTAAATAAGAACATTTCAAAGGGCTGACATAAGATTCAGAGAAAGATGAGAGACATTACAGTCACTATAAAAAAAATGACTACTGCATGATAAATGTGGAATGCATATACCTGCCATTCTAACATTCAGATCCTCCTCATCCTCATCATCATCTGAATCAAGTGGTTCATCCTCATCTTCACCTAGTCCAGATTCCCCAGCCTTCACTCGCTGAAGGATTTCCATCATTTTTTGGCGCGATTCTTCTGATACTGTTCCACTGCCAAGCTGTTGGAATATGTGAAATACTCACAGAGGATAGTAAAACATGCATGAATATTATCAGAATGTAAAACATAAACAAAAGAAGCTGGTGATGAAGAGATTGGTGGATACAGTACCTGGTATATAAACAGTGAGTGGTTAAATCATAGGAGAAAACGGTGCAGAAACTAAATACCTACAGCAAAAAATATACTTACATGCTCACATAAAAAAGTGTGCATGAACTGAAATTTATATTAACATTCAACAGAGGTAGAAGGTAACAGCTTTCTTACCTCCGCTTTCACCATCTCTTCAAAAAAGCCTTCAGAGCACTGCACATGACTCTGGTGTTTGTAGCACTTTGAAGAACAGTATGGAACATTGCAGCGAGGACAGGTGTACTGGGATTTGTTGTGGCAGCTGTCATGTAAAAATATGAATATTATACAAACTTAGGACCTGACTTTAAATACTTGGGTTAATATTTAGAAATCGCCAAAACATACAAATATATTGAGCCATAGGAAGAAAGAAAAATAAACAAAACAATTTATTTTATTTTGTTTGTCAGAAATTTATATTTTTCGAGTACAGCATGACCTAACAATTCACGGATTTTTTATTCAAGTACCTCGATTATTTGTTAAAGACACCCTGGATGTACCCAAGAATGTCTAAGGGTAGTTTTAAAGTTGCTGCCATTTTTGCGGCTGGGACAGCAAGCCATTCGTTCTAGAGACAGAAATTTCTTTTACCTGTATTGAATATGTGTGTGTGTGTGTAGACACACACACAAAACACATACACATAAATAATAATGGGAAAATCCTCTTACAAATACACTAAACAGAAACAAGAACACAAAATGTATTAAAAATATGAGTCTACCCTCAAGTCAACTCCATGCTTTGAAGTTACAACACAGCACGGAGTTGACTTGAGGGAAGACTCACATTTTTAATACATTTTGTTGTCTTGATACTGATTATTTGTGTGAGGATTTTCCCATTACAGTAAAGCATCCGATAACAATGGTTCGACCAACAACTTTTCATATTTAAAACCCAAGTTAATTTAAGACTCAATTCAATTTACGTCCTTATTTCATTCGTATTTACGACCAAAATACAGTGGTCCCTCGGTTAACGAAAGGTTCGATTAACAAAATTTTGGTTAACGAATTAGCTACCATAAGGGTTTACAGTTCGATTAACGAAATCCTTACGGCAAACACGTTTTGTTGTGCGCATCAGTTGATCAGCTGTTCAGCTAGTCCACCAATACAGGACAGTGGTCCCTCGGTTAATGAGCACAATCCGTTCCAGAAGGTTGCTCGTTAACCGAAACCATTGTTTCAATGGGTTTTTGGGTAATTGGTTCTAGCTCACCGAAAATTGCCTAAATTCAACAAAAAAGGTAGAAAAATACACTTACGTTGAGGTGTGTATGTAGAAGGCTCCTGGATGATGATGATGGGAATTAGAATGGGGGTGGAGGAGAAGGGAGACGAGAAGGCTTTGGGGTGGAAGAGAAGTCACCCCATGGCACCATTTCACCCATAAAATTTTAGTTCTCTTGGTGTAATTCAAGATTATTTTCTTTAAATCAACACTGCACTGCATTATATATTGTCAATATGTAAAATAAATTTCAAAATGACCAATAATTTGCTTGGAAACACAGAAAAAAAGTGTTTAGTTGAAGAGAGTCTCAAGCAAGATGTTACCTCCACTGAAAACAGAGAGAGACTAACGCCTGTCTGGTGTGTTAACAGGATGGATGGCACGCCAGAAACTAGTTTCTTTACCTTCAATTATGTTCAATAATTGTTAAAATGACTAATAACTTAATATTAAACTTTTAAAATTATTGAACAGTATAAACTTCTTGATATTTACTAAAATAGTAAGGAATTTAAGCCCTAAAACCAATTACTGTATTGGCGGACTAATACAGTTAACCCTCACTTTACGCGGTTAATGTAACCCGGAGGGTACCGCGGAAAGTGAGGAACGCGTAAAGTGAATAACATAATATATGGGATTAATTGAAATGGAGTCCGGGCCGATCCCCAAACTCCACTTTTTGACGACACACAACTATGTTGTAGTAAAAATTTTATCTTAACTTTATGATGGTATGAAAAAACAAGTAATATAGAAGAGGTTAGGTTAGGAAAGATAAAGGTTAACATAGGAAAAATAAAGGTAAGGTTAGAAAACTAAAAATTAGGTGTAACACTTACGGTAGTAGAAGAGATGGGTCGGCATACGGGGATGGAGGCTGGTTCCGAGGCAGAGGGCAGATTACTGGCCCTCAGGTGAATCACCATTACTAGGTGAATCACCATCACTGTCACTTACAGTTGTCAGGGCTTCCCTGACAAATCCCTCAAAGTCAACTTCACTGTCACTATCACTGGCTTGGGCTGGCTGTGGTGGGTTGCGGGTGAAGAAATCTGTTATGCTTTGCTGACGGCTGGCGTTGATGTTGTCGTGATACACCTTGATGTACGGCTCCATAGCCTGCACCAGCCGGTTATGGAAGACTTCATAGCGGTCATCGTCATTGTCGCGGGAAAGGAAGGACTTCATCTTCTCTGCACACTCCATGGCACCCTTAATATCACTATGACTTAAATTGTGTTCTTCGGAGACTGACGCACCTTCTTCCTCCTCTTCACTGACGTGTTCTTCTTCCAACATCTCGTCGGCAGTCACTTCAGGATCTCTGATCACCTCCAGGATGTCGTCGTTGGTGGTCTCGGAGAAGCCTGGAACTGTAACAGTCTGCGCAGCTTCTCTGGCAAGGTCCACTGCTACTGCAACATTCTGAACCTCACCAGTCACAGATTGACTCCTCCTCTCACCTGGTATTCCATGCAACACATGTCTCCATGCGTGACGAATTGTAGCAATAGACAGCTGATCCCATGACTCCACCAAGAAGTCCACAGCTTTCTTGATGTTAAATACTCTCCAGAATTGTTTGAAGAGTATTTTTTGCTGTTCTAACTGTTGATCCTCATCTTCTTCGCTCTTGCTATCGGTGGTGGTGTCACTCAGGTTACGCAACTCTTCCCTGGTGTTGGTGTAGTCGTTCAGGAGCTGGAATTTTGTTGTTGAGAATGCAGCTTTTACATTGCAAATCAACTCCTGGTCCATGGGCTGGATTAAAGACGTAGTGTTGGGAGGAAGGAAGACCACTTTTACGTTGGGGTGACGATCTAACAGTAGGGGCGAGTGTCCTGGTGCGTTGTCCAGCAGCAACAAAATATTAAATGGGACATTCTGTCGCTCACAGAATTTCTTTACATCGGGAACAAAACAGTCATCAAACCAGGAGAGGGACAGTGTAGAGAACATCCATGCCTTACGTGCGGTCAGCCAGTGGACATTTAGCTTGGTCAGGTCCATGCTCTTGTAGGCGTGCGGCTTGCGGGCTGTGTGGATCACCGATAACTTGAGCTTACAGGTACCGGAGGCATTGGTGGTAAACAGGACGGTGATGCGTTCCTTCTGCATTTTCCGGCCCCGAATCCTGCTGGCATTCTTCACAACGAAGGACTTGGAAGGTAGCTTTTTCCAGAAAAGACCAGATTCGTCCATGTTAAACACCTGGTCGTCACTGTACTGTCCTTCCTCCATAATCTCACGTAAAAACGGAGGAAATTCCCGAGCCGCAGCACGATCAGCACTCGCTTCTTCACCACCAATGTTTATATTGGTGATCTTGTTCCGGATCTTAAACCTCTGTAACCACCCAGAGGAAGCATTAAAGGGTTTGGGCTCTGAAGTTCCCATCTTTCGTGCCACTGCCATGTACAGTTCACGTGCGTAGTCCTTAACAGAGCGCGTGTCGACCGCCATGTTCCGTCGCGCCTGACGCACCAAGTACCTCACAAGTAATTTTTCTGTCTTGAGAAGCACCTGGTTGTGAAAATACTTGATCATAGAAGCACCTGTAGACTTTGTGATCTTCATGTGCTCCTTTATCTTGGCTGAATCCTTCTTTATAGTCCGGATCGTAGATTCGTTCACGCCATGCTGGCGCGCCAAATCAACCTGCCTTGTTCCTTTCTCCAACTCTTGGATGATGCTATACTTCACCTCGTAGCTTAAGGAACGTCGTGTCTTCTTTGGTTTAGTGCCGCTGGGTCCAGGTAAGGAAAGGTTTCTCTCTGGGGGTGGTGGTCCGGCGGAAGCCATTTTACGGAACAATGGATGTGCGTTTACACGGAGTGGCCTTGAGGGATGAAACTGGCGCGGCTAGGTCAAGGATCGTCTTTCCTCCCTCCCTCCCTCCCCCGGGTGGACACGTCATAATACTTTAAGCCAATTACAGCTAGCAGCAGAGAGGGGTAGGGATGCATGGCCAATCACAGGTCTGATACGTCATATGACGTCAGTGATAACGCAACAAAGACACACACTGCGCAACCTTACCGCGCCGCTTGCCCAAGCGGAGGGAGGAGGAGGGAGAAGCAGGCAGGCAGGCGGGCGGGTGGCGGGTGGGGCGAATCTAAAAATAGCGTCGCGCCGGACACTCTCCGCGTAATGGGGTTCACGTACCGCGTAATGTGAGCACGTGAGGTTCTGGCAAGGCACCGCGTTAACGTGGAAACGCGGAATGCGGGACCGCCTAAAGTGAGGGTTAACTGTACTACAGCTGGTGGACCGCCAAATGCAAGCAAAAACATGTTGAAGTCGGCTCGTAAAACACTCGTTAATCGAGGGATTACTCGTTAATCAAAGTTAAGAATCTTATGGAAGGTAAATCGTTAACCGAAATCTCGTTAACCGAGGCGCTCGTTAACCGAGGGATCACTGTAATTGGTTCTATGTTTACATCCGTTTCCAGTGAAGTAAATATCAAGAAAGTAGGTCTCTTGAATATTTCTGCATTTTTTTATATTAAAATGATTGGTCATTCTGAAATTTAGTTAACATATTGATAATATAGACAGTACAGGGAACAGTTTTTGTGCACCCATCAGCTGATTGAATCACCCAACAACCCTTCTCAGTTTAACTTTGTTTACAGTGGAGTGAACATCGATTTTGTTGGCCTCTTGAATATTTTTGCATTTTTACATTAAATTTATTGGTCATTCTGAAATTTAGTTAACATATTGATAATATACAGTGCAGAAATTATTATGAAACATGAAGAAGGCATTAGAACCAATACACACTGTAAAGAATATGGCATGTCATCAGCGGCTGCCTCTACAATCAGCTGTTTGATATGTAAACAAAGCTGACGGTAATACGACATACACACTTCAAAGTTAAAATACAGTATTCTATTGTTTTTTATTTATTATTGTACAGTATACTATACAGTACAGTACAGTACAGTATTGTATTTAGTTTATATTTAATGTTTTGTTAATTCTATTACCGGTATACAGTACTTTG